GAGGATAGTATATTCTATTCATTAACTTTAAAAATGTTTATCTTGTTTTTAATTATGTGTATGTGTAGGGGTCTGAGTGTAGGCATGCTCCCACGAGTGCAGATGCCCACAGGGGCCAGAGGCATTAGATTCCCTGGAGTTGGAGTTATGAGATGCCCGATGTGGGTGCTTGGAACCACACTGGGGTCCTCAGCAAGTGCAGAACTTGATCTTAGCTACTGAGTTGTCTCTCCAGCCCCTATTCATCATTCTTTAAAAAAAAAAAATAGCTGTGTGCGTATAAACAAGGTGCTGAGGTATGACCCATAGCATGTGCTACGTAATTCCTGGGGCCACGTTCAAGATCACTGTGAACAGTGTCTCCTGGGGTATGCATTCATAACTGGAGGGCAGCCCTGAAACTGCTGAGCAGAAACCCATGTGATCGTGCTGTAAGATGTGTGAGCAAAGCCAGGTTAGGCAGGATAATGTCTATCCACAAGAGGAAGAGCAAATGGAATTCAGTGAGGGTTACAGTGAAGATGAGACATTCGCTGTCTAGGTGGGAATTTTCCACGCGTAATAGAAGGAGGACGTGGACATTGCAAACATGGGGAATGGAATCTGCCCCTCCCCCAAACAGAAAAATGGCATAAAACATAAAGTGGCATAAAAAATGAATGGACGGGATGGCTGAGTAAGGAACTCAATGAAGCTAACTGTCCACCAAAGCCACTGAAAACATTGTACAGTCAACTTTTCCAAAACTCCAGAAATGACCCAGACACTTGTAATGTCTCAGGGAGCATTATGAAGAAAACAACAAAATTTGAAAACAGTTGATGTGGTGTCACTTTTTTTTTAACTTGCCCTGGTTCTCCTCTCTACCATCGTGAGCTCTGTGTAGCCTTTGACGGCTTTATGACTATGGCCAATGGTCATTGTGCACACAAACAGCCTTAGCACCCTCTAGAGCTGAGCAGTTTTGAACGAGGTCCATTCCCAGAGAATTGTCACCATTTGACTTGATTGACAGTTCACTGAGATGCGCTATCCTCAGGATTTGTCTTCTCATTTGACTTGGCTCAGAGCTTGCTGTGTGAACCGCCATTCTTGCAAGGCAATACAACTCGTAAATAGGATTAAAACAGCACCAGCAGAAGCAACAACAACAACAAAAACAGCTCATAGACACTGTCTCAGTAGAAGCCCAGAAGTTGGCTTACTGGACTTTAAACTTCCTGTTATAAATATTTTCAAAGGCTTTTTAGGAGTGCTGGGGAGGTAGCTTAGTCAGTCAAGTGCTTGACTCAGAAGTGTGAGAATCTCAGTTTGTTGCCCAGCAGCCATGTAAAATGAGTTCTAACACTGGGGAGTCAGAAGCAGAAGGAGCCCATCTCCGGCATCTGCTAACTAGGCAGCCTAGCCTCAGATCTCAGGGAGAGACCCTGTCTCAAAAAACAAGGTGGACAGTGTCCTAGAGAACACCCAAGGATAATCTCTCCTTTAGACTCACAGACAGGGGCATACACATTGACACAAATGCAGACATGCTCCTCTTCCAAAATAGTTTTCATTCAGGCTGTTATGAATGATTATGAGAAGAATATCGAGTTGTATGAGCAAATGAAGTGATGAAATACTGAGCTTCACAGGTCTCGCATTGCAGGAATGTCAGGGCGTTGCCGTGCTAATATAGACAGTGACATCCAATGGTGCTATTTGATAAAGTGTTTCCTAAACACTTGAGTATAGAAATAAAATAAAATAAAACTCATAAGCAACGATTCCTTAGGAAGTATTGGCCTAGGCTAGATTCTCCTTAAACAGAAAAATTACTGAGACAGGGGCGCTGTCTTATATAGTTCGTCAGTCACCAGGTACAATATTCTGTACAGTCCACATGCTTACTGAAAGAACATATGTAGGTGGATGCACTAGAAGAAAAGTCAGAGAAATTGTTACAGCATCAAAGGAGAACGAAAGCCCCTGCATGTCCTGCCTCTCTAGCATGTCCATCCTAGATGGCCCCAACTGTATGTGAATGTGACATTTTTCCATCTGTAAGATCAAGGCAGACCCCATCGCAACTCAAGCTTCACAGGATCCCCCTGAACTGCATACACACCCTCCATCCTTGTCCAGGAAAACTTACAGGGCTAGTCCCTAAATTCCCGTCTAGTTGGCTGAAAGTTTCCATTTGTCTCAGCTAGGATCCAATTGCTCATCACCATGACTCACTTCTCTGGTTTTTTCCCTAATCTCGGCCTTGGAGTGTAATTTCTGAGATACTTGCTTCCTTTTGCCTCTTCTGTGTCATGCATTAGAAGGCACTTGGAATTGACTGAGCAGTGGGCAAGATGCAGACCTCCCAGATGTGAACAGGCATGTGGACTAAGGTGCCCCTGGTGCCCCTGAGCTGGTCACCATCTCTTGCAAACACTTTGTGCTTTCAGTCAATGACTCACTATTATTCTCTGCTTCTTCCCATTGCTACTCTACTGTATAGGACAAACCTCAACTAGGAGGCAAAGCAGGAGAAGGGACCCTATTTTAGAATGTTTGGTGCTGGTAGATTTAGAATCAGTAATGAAGAGGTCCATGAAAACAGGAGCACCCCCTTAGTCCTGGAAATAATGCAGTGTTAGCTGTTGACCACCATCCCAAGTATTGTCACTGAGAGGGAGAGAGCTGAGAGTTAAAGGGTGGTAGTGAAGAGAAGCTAAGTTAGCTAGTATTTAAAAAGAAAAAAATAATAAAGGCATCGAAATTTCAAGGATTGAAAAGCGAATTAATCTTATGTAAATGCAGATATGTACTCGGAGTTCCTCAGAGCTCTCTCTCTGATAAGTGTGCATTTAGCAACAATAGCCAATTTTCCTGGAACTGGCTTTATGGCATATTTCGATGTAGACCCTTTGAATAAAGCAATCAGAACTGTTTGTTATGACAATGGACAATGAGATTGCTGCTTGGAGAAAACCAGCAATTGAGAGCAAACAGCTTGACTACATACGAAGAAAGTGGGAGTTGTGGCTCCTTGCTTTCACTGACGCGAGCTGAGAGATTCTCAGAGCACTGTCAGGAGGACTATTCTTGACAGTAATTCATGTTCCTCACCTGTGCCTGTCTCTGGGCATACTTGGGAGAAATTCAGAACGTTGAGATCATCTCCGGAGTAAGTCACTTCAGAAGATTGAAAAGGCAGTCTTTGGATGTCAGACAAAGGCAGTCAGTGGTGACTTGTGCTCTTATTTGCCTTCAGAGAAGTAGAGCAAACCTGATAAACTCCAGGCATTGAAAAAGTATAAATCGTAGGGGGAAAAAAAGGAAACAACCCACAGTGAACTGCTCAACACCCTCAGCTGCAGGAAGTAAGTCAAAATTTGCTGACACAACAGTTGTAGCACAGTGAAGAGATGGAAATTTAGCAGAAAGGGAAAGATGAAAATGTGGTAGATTGAAGAGAAGAAATACCACACACAATAGAAGATGCACACATACAGGATATGCAGTTTAGACTTTTGCAAGGTACCGCATTAGAGTTCTCCAGAGGAACGGAATTGATAGGATGGAAACATATTACAAAAGAGGATTTATTTGATTGGTTTCCATAACCTGAACTGGATAGCTAGCTTTTCACACTGGAGAGGATGAGAACCTGGTTGCTGTTCAGTCCACAGTTTGGATGCCTCAGCAGTTCCACATCTGGTCCCGAAGGTCTGGAGGAGTCCTGGAGAGCTGTCGGACTTTAGTCCACATTGGACCACCCAGCTGTCTTAGCCACTGCTCTGTTGCTGTGGAGAGACATGCCAAAGCAACTCTTATAAAAGAAAGCATTTAATTTTGGACTGGCTTACAGTTTCAAAGGCTTAGTCCTTTGTCATCATGGCAGAGAGCGTGGTGCCAGGCAAGCATGGTACTGGAGAAGGAGCTGAGAATTCTCTAATCCTGATCTGCATGCAGCAGAAAGAAGGCAGAGGGGGGAGGGGAAAAGGGAAAGGGAAAGGGAGAAGAAGAAGAAGAAGAAGAAGAAGAAGAAGAAGAAGAAGAAGAAGAAGAAGAAGGAAAAAGACTGGACCTAGATGGACTTTTAAAACCTCAAAGCCCACTCCCATTGACACACTTCTTGCAACAAGGCTGCTTCTACTCCCACAATGCCACTCCTCCTACTTCTTCTCAAATAGTACCACTCCCTAGTGACTGAACAGTCACAGATGTGAGCCTATGATGACCATTCTCATTTGAACAACCACACCAACAAAACTGGATTCTGTTGACAGCCTCAACAACAGGTAGGTACACTCCCCAGCAGTAAGTGAAGTCAGAGAAGGAGATAGCTCTGCCTTTTCCTTAGACCTTTATATATCCGGGCCTCTCAGTCTTCCCACACAAGGAGAAGGTGCTTCTTACTCTGGGAGAGCATCGCCCCCTCTCAATGAGTCCTTTCTGGGAATGTCCTCATAGATCTGCTCAGAAGTGGTATCTTTGTTGGTTCTGAATTCAATCAGACCGACAAAGATTAATCCTCGCAGATACCTTACACTTGCCAACTACTGAGCAGGCATGCTGTTATGTGGGTACTACCCCTGAAGAATGGGGTGCTACCTCTAAAAAATGGTTACTGCCCCTGAAGAATGGGGTACTATCCCTGAAGAATGGGGTACTGCCCCTGAAAGAAGAGTGCTACCCATGAAGAATGGGGCCCTACCACTATATGGTGCAATGCTGCCAATGTCCACCACAATTAATTTCTCAAGCTCCATAAATTACTGGACCTGTTTCCTTTAGCCTGCATAAGACTTAGAATTTAGCCAGGTGGTGGCGGTGGCACATACCTTTCATCCCAGCACTTGGTAGGCAGAGGCAGGTGGATCTCGACGAGTTTGAGGCCAGCCTGGTCTACAGAGTGAGTTCCAGGACAGCTGGGGCTACACAGGGAAACCCTGTCTTTAAAAATAAACAACAACAGCTATAACAAAACAAAACAGATTCAGAATTTAAGGACTTAACATTTTATTGCTACATGTTTATTAAATTGGAACTACCTGCTCCCTTTCCCTACACCAAATGCAAACAACAAGATTTGTACATTGTTTCTGGTAAGTTCCAAAGTGGAAAAGAATCTAAGGTACTTTCTTCAAAGGTCCTTCTCTTACTTTACAGATATAAGAAGGGTGGACAGAAGACCCACAAAGAGAAGCATCCTTTATCCCTCACAGCCAAAAGAGCAGCAGGAGCAGCGCTAAGTATGAGTTCCTGCAATGTCCAGATGATGACAGATGAACTAGGTGTTACCTATGTAATACCTATGTATATCACAGGAAAGGGACCTCCAAATTGGTGCACCTGAGCTTGGCTGGCCATCGGTTTCCTTCCTCCCTTTGGAGAAAGGTTTCTCACTGTCCTGAAATGTAAGCAAACGTCCTTGGCGAAAGGAGACACTTTTATCTGTATCGCTTGATTCTCAGCTTGAAAGAATTGCATGATGTTTAGAAAATGGGTAAAGGTCACTTCTGGGTGTGTCCGTGGAGGCGTTTCTAGAGTTGATTAGCATTGACACTGAGAGAATTCCGAAGCACATCTTACTAGGAGTTCTTGAGAGTTCCCTGATAGTGTTCATTTAAGCAACAATGGGGAATTTTCTCAGAACTGCCTTTTCTGGCCAATGTCCAAGAGGCTGGGAGATGGGATGGAACTAAAATGAAGACGTGGGAGCTGGGCTCGGTCTTCAGCACAGGCTTCATTCTTCACAAGCAGGTGTGTTTGAGGCTGCCATGGCCATGGGCATCCCACACCAGCTTCCCCAGCCTTTGCATGGACGTCTATATTAAATCCTCCAGGGAACTTACGGGCCTTCAGTCTTGACTTGACTACATCCTTGTTTTCTCTTGTAGCTTTTTGGAGTCAAATACTGGGCTGTGTAATCCTGTCTCAAAACAACAAGGAAAACCATGCTTAATTTTATTTACTTTTGCCCTTTCTTTATTTTTACATGTTACCATTTTAAATAAAATTTCCCCTCCTTTTACCCTAATAGACTTTATTGTATATATAGTTTTTGCCATTAGAGTGATTTCTTTTCTTCGTCTTCCTTTCTGATTTCATCCTATAATCAACATTAATGCATATATCTTTAATCCCAGTGCTCTGGAATCACTGTATCCCCAAGAGTTTGAGGCCAGTCTAATCTATGCAGTGAGTTCTGGGCCAGCCAGAGCTACATAGGTATAACCTGTCTCCAAATAAAGCAAAACCAAAACAAAACAAAGGACAGAAATATGTCATGTTGAAATAACTCACTTGGTATTTATCATTAATTTCTTTTGTGATGATTACTACAAAGCTTATAGCACACCTATAATATTTTGATTTAATTTGCCTTTGATACAGTACACTTTTCAATGGTAGTAAGAACAGTTGCCCCCAAATCCGTTTCTCTAGTCTTAAGTTTAGTAACTGTTGGTTACTTGTATCTTCAGACTGTCTGCGGAGTGGGCCTGTCTTCGAAGCCTTACAACCCCCCCCCCCCCCCCCCCCCGCCAAGAACAGCAGAGAAGAGAGAATAGAGACCCTTTTTCACGGTCTTTAGAAACAAATGAAGCTGGGAGCCCAGATGTGTTCAGACCCTGCCCCTTTGCTCACAGTGAAGCACAGCTGCCCACGCTCCTGTGTTTAAAACCCCCTGTATAGGACACACAGGTATCCCTGCCTTTAGAGCTAAGTCATGAGGCAGCTAAGCTTCCTCTGCTTAGGGTTCAGCATTATGTCTTCTCTACCATCTCCTTCTCCCTTTGCAGTGCCAAGGGCAAAACTCCGGGTCTTGCTCATGGCAGACCAGCTCTCTAGCGTTGACCTAGGTCCTGTTACAACGTCTGTCTTTCTACTATATCCCTCAGTCTTTGTGATGAGACTCACACAAGGAATTTGTCAGTAGTGTTAGAAGCCTCAAGTGCTAATCGGGGTTAAGCGATCAACAGTCACTTATTCCCAGCACCCTTGTCCAGTTTATGGATCTTTGTGCTGACTGTTGCTCACTGCCAAAACAAGTTTCTCCGACTAAGACAGAGCAGCACCCGTCTACTGGCACAAATAGCAATATTTAGAAGGCATTTGATGATACAACAACAACAACAAAAAAAAACCAATAGTCCTTTTTTCCCTAGCCCCTAGATCTCCCCAGCCATAGGCTTTGACCACGTTTACAGTACCAGGTCTGAATTTTCTCCCGTGGAGCAGACCTCAGACCTAGTCAGAGCGTGGTTGGTGACCTCGTAACAGCGATTCCGTTATTGTACCACTGGGTACATCTTGCATGGCAGGGCAGTATTGTGACATGAAGGATCTACTTCTAAGCAAGTCCACTGATGTTTCTCCCCAGCCTTCTCCATAGCACCATCTGGTACTATGATGGGTACTATGATGGTGCTATCCTGGTAATTTCTAATTTGATTTCTGTATGTCCTGCAATGGAAGTTAACTGTGACTTCAGCAAGAGGGTCGTACCAACTAGCCAGGATGTGCAACCAAGCCCAGTGGTAATAAGCTGTGCTGCTTTGGAGGCCTCTGGGGCCTCTCTGACCAATACTTTGCAGGGAAGTGTCCCACAAGAGGCACTGAGATTTTCACTTAGTAGCCCACGTCCTCCTCTGGGGCACGCTTTGTCCACCCACAGGGGGTCTCCACTCAAACTCTTTCTCTCTGTAAAACTGTATAGGTAACTTATGTGCAGTCGATCCCTGTAAGGCTCTTTCTTAATTTGGGTTTAACTCATCCTTCACCCCATCCCCCAAGTCTTCTTCCTCTCCAACCTACTTAAACCTTTAATCTTCAGTGTCCCCTCCTGCTTTCATATCCTACCACCCCTTCCTCTTCCCCCTCCCCTCTCTGACCCCTACCGACACCCCAAGCGAAACATGCCAATCTAGGATCTGCATGAGCATGACTAGGCAACATTGGTCTTTCAGAGTCTAGATGGCTGCATACCGTGCTCGCTTTACGGAGCCTTAGCTCTTCTCCTGGCTAATCTTTAATCTATTTTTAGTTTCTAAACCCACTTTCATCCTTTATTCTTTTCTTGCATACTTAAAATGTCTGTGGGAAATGTCTTTAATCTTATTTGGCTTCTCTTCTTCCGTATCACTCGGGATGCTGTTGACAGAATTGTCTATCGGCGAGTGTCTTTTGATTCTTAACTCCAACGATTTAGCTCTACCATCTCCAACATGCACATGATGAAATACTGGCAGCCGGGAATATTTGCTTTGTTCTTTAAAGTCATTGGTGGGTGCTTTCTGATGAGCTTTCCCCTGTATCGTATTTTAATAGATGCGTTGTCCCCTGACGCATTGCAAGGGCACATCCTTTCTTCTTTTGATCATGTCCCTTATATTTGCAATTCTGCCTCTGACAGAAACTTTCCTGTTTACCTTTGCTGAGACGTGCACTTCAGAGAGTTGACTAATCAAGCAAAATCGAGATCTCTCCTTGAGTAAATCTGGGGACCGAGGCAAGTCTGAACTCATAGGTAGATTGGTGAGAAGTTTATTTGCATAAATAGCTTGTTATTTGCATAAATTTACAAAATAATCTGAAGAAAGGGAGGAAGGGACTGCAGGAGTGACCTGGTTTGAGGCTTTGATAAAGGATCCTATTCCTCAATGGCTCCTTTGTGTGTGTGTGTGTGTGTGTGTGTGTGTGTGTGTGTTTGTGTGTATGTGTATTATGTGTGTGTATGTGTATTATGTGTAAGTAGGCATGTTCATGGGTTTCAGTGCATATGTGTCATGGTGTGCATGCGTATACCAGAGATGTCAGTCAGAGCCTCAGACAGAAGTCTTCTCCTTCCACCTTGCTTGAGACAGGGTGGTCGCAAATGGGAATGGCCGCCCCCAAGGACTCTTTGATGTCTACCTCCCCTCTCACCACAGGACTTCTGGGATCAGTGAACTATTCTGTCCAGGTTTACATGGGTTCTAAGCATCTGAACTTACATCCTTATACTTGCTTGGGAAAAGCTTGATCACCATAGCATTTCCCCAGACCCCATGCATGAGTCTTAATGGGGAGAGAGGCTCAGAAGGAAACAGTGAGGGCTGCCATGGGAAAAAAGTCATTAAATACAGAGACTCAAGTGGCTTAAGTGACAGATGCCGCTGGAGGAAGGGTGGGGAGAGCGGGGGAGTACCTTTCTTCTTCAGAAACTCAATTTCACCCCATGGAAACATGAGATTTATTTGGCAGTGGAAAGCATTTGCTTGGAGATTTGCTAGGCATCACCAGGCAGCAACTTTAGCCTATATCTTAGCTAATCTTCACGTTGCTCTAACAAATACCTAACAGGAACAGCTCAAGTAAGGAAAGTTTACTTTGGCTCACATTCTTGGGTAAAGTCCATTATGGCAGGGAAGACATGAGCTTGGGATGGCTGGGCACATTGTGTCCCCAGGCAGGAAGTAGAGAGATGAAAGTAAGTTTATAGCTCCCTCTCTGCTTGCCCATGTAATGGAACTATCCACAGTTAGGGTGGGTTATGCCACCTCAATCGACATAATCTAGAAAGTCTCTCAAAGACATGCACAGGACTTTGTCCCCTAGGTGAAGCTAGATCCCATCCATTTGGCAATCAGTGTTACTTACTAGAGCCTGAAAATCTGATGGGAAACTTCCACGAAGGATGTTTAGCAACTGGAAGGACTGAGATGTTGCTCATTACGTGTTATCTAGGTACACCATCTTCTCATTTTCCACAATGGCCCTTCTTACATTTAGTGACACCCATTTTCCTTACAGATGCCAACTAAGAGCATGTACCTTCGTTCTTCCTTCCCAGTTTTATGGCTATTAAGGTAACCTTTTAACGTGTGCCCTGCTTCAATTTACACAAAGAAGTCCTAACCTCTGGTTCATCAGAATTTGGAAACAGAGTCTTTCGCATAAGGTCATCTTCTAAGCTAGTATAATGAGTGCTGATCTAGTATAATGAGTGCTCCTAGAAAGAAAGCAGATCTGGGCGCAGACACACATAGAGGGAGAACGTTAGGTGAAGTAGCACATCTGCAGTTAGGAAGGGAGGCTCTTCCATCACAGCGCTAGGAGAAATCAGTCTTTAATCACGGACTTGTGCGACTATCAGTAGCAACTTCCAGTCTATGAAAGCATTCTCTGCACTATTCCGTTAGCACAGCATTAGCAAACTAAGATGTTAATCATTTTACATTTCATCTTTTCAGCCTATAGTTTTTTATTGTTTCATCTATCTATCTGTCTATCTATCTATCTATCTATCTTCTTCTTCTTCTTCTTCTTCATCATCATCATCATATCTATCTATCTATCTATCTATCATCTATTTGATTTCTTAAGATAGAGTTTCTCTGTGAAACAGCTCTCACTCCCCTAGAGCTGACTTTGTAGACCACGTTGGCCTCAAACTCACAGAGATCCACGAGCCTCCGTCTCCCAAGTATTGGGATTAAAGGTGTTCTCCATCAGACTCAGCTTGTAGTCTACAGTTTTAAAAGTTAGTTTGGAGTACATTTTGAGCTCAGTACCTATCCTGGCTAGTTTTGTATCAACTTGATACTAGCTAGAGTCGTCTGAAAGGAGAAAGCCTTATTGAGAAAATGCCTTTAGAAGATCTAGCTGTAGGGCATTTTCTTAACTGGCAATTGAGTGTAGATGGAAGTATCTATCCCACCTGGTCATGCAGCCGTTCAGTCCCAAGTAGCCACACAGAGGCTTATAGTAATTATAAACTGCTTGGCCTATTGCTCAGGCTTATTACTAACTATCTCTTACAACTTAAATTAACCCATAATTCTTATCTATGTTTACCCATTTCTTAGTAAGCATCCTCATCTTGCTTCCTCTGCATCTGGCTTGTGACTGCAGTTCTGCCTTTCCTCTTCCCAGAATTCTCCTAGTCTGGTCACCCTGCCTATGTTTCCTGCCTGCTACTGGCCAATCAGTGTTTTATTGAACCAATACAAGTGACAAATCTTTACAGTATACAAGAGAATTATCCCACAGCAATTGAGCCGGCAGTCCTTGATTCTGTAAGAAAGCAGGCTGAACAAGACATCATGAGCAAGCCAGTAAGCAGCACCCCTCCATGGCTTCTGCACTGGGCTCCTGGCTCCAGGTTCCCACCCTGTTTGAGTTCCTGTCCTTACTTCCTTCGGAGATGAATAGTACGTGAAAGAATAAGCCAAATAAACCCTTTCCTTTCCAAGCTGCTTTAGTCAGAACAGCAATAGTAACCCTGATGAAGACACCTGCCTGTGGCTCCTTCTTACTGCTTTTCTACACATAAGTGCTTTGCACTCTACTTCTGCCTTCTGGGAGCCTGCTTTCTCTGGGATTGGATGATAGGGTTATGACTTATAGCTTCCTTCAAACTCCCTCTCTTTTTCATTTTCACCTCACAGCATGAACCTTTCCATCTTATCTCAAATTCTGATTTCTGTCTGCAGCTTACACCCTGTGACATTCCATTTCCACCACCACTGCGGGTCTAGCTGGGACCCTGCATTTTGATTTTCTTGACATCTTCTCTGAATGTTCTTATTTCAAGCCATCCCTCTTCTCATAGTTGCCAAGTTACTGCTTTGGAGGAAATTATTTTGATGACTTTTCTCTGATAAATATGGTGCCTATTTCTTCTCACTTTTTCACAGCCTCAGGTCCATTTAAAAACTGTAAATAATCTATATCTCTTTTATAAATTCTTTCTCAGGGCCTTCTCCTCTTGAAACTTTCTAGTTTTAGTGTCCTCTTTGAAGGCAGCATTGCTGTGGCTGATTCTGCCTCCCTCCCTCCTTACCTTTCTATAAATAAATTCTTCAGTGTTCTGCACAGGGCCATTCTTTTAGTAATCCCAAATTTTCACTAATCTATTCTTGCATTTTCTCCCACAAACTTCATAAGAACAAACATAGAATCTAAACACACTCATCTTCTAAGGACAATTTCTAAGGCTGTTTCAGTTTTTCACTTTTCATCAACTAATATTGGTTTGATGGCAGCCCAGATTGTTATAGCACACATACTGATAATTTGTGAATGTCACATAGTAAAAAGAAATGTTGAAAGTTCCTCGATTTTCAGTATAATGCAGTAACACTTACTTCATTAAGTCCATGGCTTTTCTTAATATTTGTATCAAAAGAAGTTCATAGTGGTCTTTTAATTTTTACATTTTCTTTCTTTTTTCCCTTCATTTGAAGAATGTTGAAAACACAGTAGGAAGACTAGCTTTCAAGGCATTAATATTTTGAGACTACATTTATTTTAATACTCTTAAACTTTTATGAAAGCTTTGCGGGAATCACACACAGCAAAAACCAAAGGCCTTGAGAAGCTGTTGATAATTTAGTGTCTGAGTTCACGTGGGAATGCTAATCCCACTTACCAAAGAAGACTTCACTGTGACTCATTATGATTAAGACCTTGTAACTGTGGAGATGTGCTGGTGTGAAAATATGCTATTATAGACATACTGAGCTGAAGATCCAAATATGCCAGCTGAATGGCTTATGAATTTAAGTTCCTGATGAACATTTCTTAAGGACATACTTTAAAAGGCCTCATTGCATGCTCTTGTAATCTCACAAGTCATGAGTCAGAGGCAGGGGGATTACTGTCAGGTGGCCAGTCTCTGTTCTGTATCATCAGGTTTATATAGTGAGGCCTTGTCATAAAAACAAAACAGGTCCAATAAAATAAACTCTAAAAGTTAAACTCATATCTAGACTTTGCAAACAAGTGGGCTGTTATCCAAAAGAGCTTCTGAGACTATCTTTGGGGGTGCACAAGAGCTACTTTTAGGATATTTGGAATTCAACTAGATAAACAAAAAATGCAATCTTTCAAAAAACATTCAAGAGTGGTTGTGAGCTGGGGGCTAGTTTGATGGTAGAGTACAGACCTAGCATGTTGAGGTCCCGCATTCAATGTTTACCTTTTTAAAGAAATGTTTGGTTCAGGCTGAGGGGTGATTCAATAAAGTGTTTGTCTAACACACATAAGCTCTGTGTTAGAAAACACACTAATTTCTAGTGGCAAATATCTGGTCAACTCCCCTTCAATTTTACGGTGTGTGTGAGTGTGTGTGTGTGTGCGTGTGTGTGTGTGTGTGTGTGTGTGTGCGTGCGTGCGTGTGTGTGTGTGTGTATCACTGGAAAAGGCTGTGTTTAGTTATAACTCTTTTAAATGTAATACTATCTATCTGATTATATTCAGCTCAGTTCAATGATTTCATTAGTAGTTGTAGGAGAAGAGATCAGAATTTCTGAGGTCACCGCTGCGGTTTTTACGGATTTGTAACCACTTTTCATTGAAAATAAATACCGAAGGGCTGAGATGGGTCTCAGCCGATAGTGTGCTTGTCCAGCATGCACGAAGCCCTGGATTTGATTCTCAGTGCTGCACGAAACCCAACGGAGTGGCACACATCTGTAATCTCAGCTCTTGAGAGTTAGAGGCAAGAGGGTCATTAGTTCAAGGTCATCCTTAGCTACGTAGTGAATTCAAGGCCAGCTGGGCTACATGAGACTCCTGCCTCAAAAACAGGCATTCCATCTCAAAAGGTTTGGATGGAGACAGGATAGCCTTAGAAGGACAGGGCTGCCAGTGCTGAGGGATAAAATCTAAGATCTTGAGGTTGTCAATGGAAAGATTGCTCCCTGGGGTTTTGGAGGAGAAAAAAAAGTTGCTGGCTTTCTCTTACCTTATATGCTTCTGAGAGAGACAGGGTTGGGGCTCCTTGCTGTTGTTTCTGGGTGAGTTCCAGTGTTGCTGAAAAATGTTTCTCTTCCTTGTAACTTCTATTGTGGTCCGTTGTTGTTGCTCTATTACTCCTCCCTCACTTATTAATGAGCGTGATGCTTGTCTGATAGGAACCCTTTCACCTGGGTTCCTATTAATCATGTTGTAATGCATGGCCATACCATTCCCTGGCTCCTGTTTTGTTGATTTCTTTCTCCAATGACTCTCTTGTGCCACCTCAGCTCTCTACTGTCTGAATCAAATCCTGGGGGCAGAAAATATTCGCAACATCTCTGCTTCTATGTACCCAAACCTGATCACAGTTTCTATCTGTCTAGCTTTCTTATTCAGTTATCCATCCTATCGTATGTCATTGAGCCCTGACTATGAACAACTCCGCCCTCATTCTGCTCACTAGCCTGCTCATCTTTTATTGTCTCCCACTTCAAGTTTAGATTCTGTGCTCTATGGCTTCAACACAGCATTTTCTAAGACTCCAGAGAACTTCATATTGGGTCTTTGGCCATTTTCATCAATATATGTACCAATCCTGGCTGTCCTCTTTATTTTTCTGTTATTCCCAGGTAGAAGCAGGGCTATTGAAAAATTTTTGCGGCAGGACAGATGCATAATCAGACACTTCAGTTTGGCTTTTGATGTCCTTTGATTCTACCCTGATTATCTCATCTCCTTTAAAAAAAAAAAAAAAAAAACAAGGAAAATAAAAGCCAGTGCAGGAACAGAACAGGCTTAACTTCTCCTTTCTTTCCTGTTCTTGAAGCTTCTTGCAGAAAGATTTTTCTAGTAATGTATGTATCTTTTGGTGCCTTCAACGATCTGTTCATTAGTGGACCGCTCTGTGCAGCACTGATGCATGCTTGCGTCTCATCTGTTAAAGTATCCATTCTGCCGTCCTCTTTCTCTTCCCACCCACTTCTTAAGGATTTTTACCTACACTTGTATCTTCTCCTTACCCTCCATCGATGTACTCCAACTCAGTTCCTGTTCTTTGATACTGATGATTTTTTAATGGTAAAATATAACTTTCAGGACACTAACCCAGGCAATTTAATATCCTTATCTCATATTCCTCACCTCATACAGTGTGTGCACATAGGTACCTCCACCCAAACCACCTTAACGAGGCTTTGGTAATAGGGCTTTTCCTTGCTTGGTGAATGACATTATAATCCATCCATTTATATAAGGAAATGCAAAACTTGTAACTTACCCATGACAGTTCCATCGTCTGTTGGCTATAATGCAATTTATGATCCAGTCCTCTTGATTTCATCCATCTCTATTGCCAGTAACGTAGTCTAAGCTATGATTGGCTCCCCCTCAAGCTGATACTATAGCTCCTAGCCTTCCTCCCCCTACATCCATCTCCTTTCCCTTTTGCGAGATGTAGAAAGTGTGATTCTTTAAAGACGCACATCTGTTGTCTCTTTAACGCTATCATTCTTCGAATACACACCGCCCCTTTTTGTATTTTGAGACAGTCTTCCTTTGTAGACTGGGTTGGTTCGGTACTTGCAGAGATCTGTCTGCCTCTGCCTCCTGAGTACTGGGTTTAAAGGTGTGCGCCACTAGGTCCAGCCATTCCCCATTGCTTTAAGGAAGCTCTTACCTCATTTCCTGGAATGTTCCATCCCCACTCCTCAGCTCCTGTGTGCTATGATTCTCTAAGACAGGGCACAGGTTTCCTCTTCCTTGCATGGTCACCTCCATTTCTCATTTTAGCTTCCTTTCCTAAAGCCTCACTCTTATGAGAAATCTCCAAGAATAGGCCTTTTGTAAATCAGAAAGCCTCCTTCATTTTGCTTTGAAAAATGTTTTTCTTCTTTTAGAAAACATGGGGGTTAAAGGATTGGGTACATCATCTGTGATTCTTATGCAAGTTATATCAAGATCTGAGATTCCCTTCCTCATAAGAGAAAATTTAATATCTCCAGAATGTCTTGCCTAAAGCCTTTTTTTTTTCTTCTGCAAGATTATACTTGTTTGACTTTTTATATAGGTTTGTTTCTCTGCCTCCTGAAGGAGGTAGCAGAATATAGGCCCTCACCAAGGGTTGGTTGTCTGGGCCTGTCGGGATGGCAATAAAAATCAGAACATTGTCCGATCGCTTGCTGTGTGCAACGGCTCACCAGCAATTCAGAAGGACCAGGGGTTTGCAGTGACATCTAGAATCCCAATGAGGTTGAAAGAAAATTTCACCTGCAGACAAAAAGCCGGAAACAGAGAGGGGAGAGTTATTTTTATTTGCTACGGTATAAAGAAAAAATAGTAGCATTTGGGTTCATTTCTCTTCATGCCTTGACACTTGCAACACACGTTTTAAGTTTTGAATATCAGGATGGGAAGAAGGCCGGTGAGGTGGCTCAGTGGGTAAAGGTGCCTCCCGGTGAGCCTGGCATCCTGGGTTTTATCCCAGGGACCCACAAGGTGGAAGGAGAGAGGCCACGCTACGTTCCTACAGGATGTCCCTCCCACACAGGCTGCAGTGTGCTGTCCGGGGGCCAGCTCAAACCCTCTGTTGTGATTTCATAGCGCTTGGTAGCTTCGCCTTGGAGTCCTTTCTTCATTTTTAGTTAGAAGATCACAAGCTTGTCTAATGACTCTAGCTTGTCTGCCAGAGCGCCAATGTTGAGAGAGCAGCAGGAACCGTACCTAGCGCGTCTCTTCTGCACCTGGAGGACTGCAGTCTTGGCTGATACTGGTTGCTTACTACACACCCGTGAACAGAAAGAGCAGAGGAGCGTTCGCTCATGATCAGTACAGTTAGTCTTAGAAACGCAAGTCTGGAACTTCACGATCCTATTCTAATTCTTGAGAAACACTGAGTCAGACTAATTTTTTTTTTTAAACCAATATTTGAGGAAACCCAGGAAAACATCCAAAAAGAGAAAACGGTGCTTACTGAAATAGAGATAATTTCACTGACGTTGTGGCTATGGAGTGTAGCTGTTTAAAATGTGCCCTTTGCTTCTCAGTCCCTTTCTGTGTGTCAGAGGTGCCGGCAGCGAGAGTGTCAGACTCTATGTGGGGTTGCGTGTGCTCATGAGCACAGTGTAGACACACAAGTGTGCATTTTTCCAAGGCGTTCTTTTCTGAAACCCTTCATAATATGGATGGCCCGGTCTCGGCTTTGGTCACCGTTTGCAAACCTGCCCTTGCCTGCCCCTGTTTTTGTGGCCCTCATCCCTTGCCAAAACCCCTCCTTCCTAATGACTCACAGTGCCCAGGTGCTGCCTGCCATTGCTTCACAGCAGGGCCCGGAGATTGCCACATGGCCCGGGTTTGTGATTTCACTGTTCCTTCTGCGGATCTCCTTCTGTTTCCGCTCTCCGCGGGACAAATGCCGACTCAGCTGGCCACCTCTGAAAAAAATGGGCTGCTTTAAGCGTGACAGCGGGACTTGTCAACACACTGCCTTCCAGGCTGGTGCCCAAGATCTTGCCCTTGCGTCGGCAAAGTGTGAATTTAAACTCGACCTTGAATTCTTAAGAGGCATTTTGGGAGTAGACAAAATGACCAGAAATGTTTTGCGCCGTGTTAACTCAGGAGCACCTCTCGGTGCACTCTAAGAGACAATGTATTTAATGAGTTTTCACATCAGCCAATGCAGCCTTGTAACTCTGCTGTTTAGCTGGCAACTACATTATAAAAAAAAAAATCACTTTGGCTTGTTTTAAATTGTGCTTCAACAGTTGTTTCTGCCCATAATTCCTGGCTCCTTTCCTCTAAAATATATAATATAATATATATATATATATAATATATATATATTTATTTGTAAAAATAAATGATATATAAATATATTTTTAAAAATTTCCATCCGACACACCTGCCTTTGTGATTCTTGCAGTGAGAACTCAGGCTCCGCCTTTGAGAGGTTTTCTCCTCTTTTGTTTACTCTGCTCTCACTAGTGAGGGTGGTAACTCATTTTCTTCCTCACTTCCTTACCTGAGGAGTTGCTCTTGGTTTAATCTCCACCCACTACAGCTTCTACCTGGTTCCACCCAGTTCCTTTAACTAAGACGATCCAGAGAGGTGCTAGGCCAAATTAGTTTTTATTTTCTTCCAAGGAATTTTGAACAAGGTGGAACAGCTTTGATGCTTCACTATATGAAATGAACAAATCCAGTCACGATGTTAGTTTAGTGAGTAATTATTCTGGACTTGTTATATAAGCATTTTTTTTATTTGTGTGCATGAGTGTATGAGTGTATTGTCTGCATGTGTGTGCGTATGTGTACCACATTCATGCCTGATGTCCTTGGAAGCCAGAAAAAGATGTCAGATCTTCTGAAACTGGAGTTGCAGACAGTTGTGAGCTCTCTGTGAGAACAGCAAGTGTCCCATACTGCTGAGCCATCTCTCTGGTCCCCTATTCATGTAGGACTTTATTTTATTTTTAGTCCTTTTGGGGATTGGGTTACATGTAGCCAAGGCTGGCCTCAAACTCACTGTGTAGTTAAGGGCAACATTGAATTTTGAGCCTCCTGCCTCTCCTTCTAGGTGCTAGGATTACAAGCATGCACCACCAAGCCTGGTTGTAATATATATTATATATATACATACAAAAACTTCTCTCTTTAGGAGAGACACTCTTATCCCTAAATGGAACGGCAGGGTCTAATCACCTGTCACAGGTCTTTGGCAATTTTAATTTTGAATGCGTGTGTAATTCCAACATTACAGATGAGAGCCTGCATGTGCCCAGCACTTTTCATCGCTATGACAACACCCCAAGGAAAACAACTGTTGGGAGGAGGGACTTACTTTGGATCACAGTTTTTAGAGGTTTCGGTCGGTGGTCAGCTGGCTTGATGTTTCTGACCCTGGACATATCATGGCAGAGGGCTGCTTACCTTGTGGTGGTCTGTTCTGTCACACACGACAGCGCAGAGGGGTCTAGGCACAAGATACGTTCTTCAAAAGCGCATCTCCCGTGACCGGCTGCTTCCAGCCATGTACTGCTTCCCAATAGTCCATCCACCAATGGATAAACTCATCTGGACATGGGAGTTCTCAGGATTCTATCAGCTCTCAGAAGTCCATCAGCTGCCAACTCAAACTTTAACCCACGAGCCTTTGAGAGACATTTTTATATCCAAATCACAGTGCTTCATGTTTAAGCATTTACATGACAATGGTGCCCTGAAAGAAGATTTTGCCCATTGTTTAGGGAGGTAGGTAGCAGTATGTTTAAATTGCTATGAGATTTTGAGACAATTACCCCATTGATAAAAGTCCCATAGTATGCTCACTTATAACCTATTTGTGAATATTCTTGTTCTTGGTATAATCTGTCACCCTCCTCCTCTACTCCTGTTTTGATCCATGTGTGACAAGTTCCTGGTTTTACCACTTGCCGGGTTTACACCTTGCTGCTGTTGTCATGAGACAGGGTCTTCCTATGGAACTCTCACTGACCTGAAACCCACTATGTAGATCAGGCTGGCCTTGAACTCGAGCAGAGCCACCCGCCTCTGGCTCCTGAGGGCTAGAATTAAAGCCATCACGAAGGGCTTCCTGCCACATTTTTATTCATCAGTTCCAATACCATGAGGCTGTCCTGGAGCTGGGGTTGTTTGATACCTTCTTGTAACAAGGGGAAAACATAATCGGTCAGTAGTCATTTTACTGCTTTATGATATGTGAAATGTTTTCAACACTATTTTGAAATAGTCCATGGGTCATCATCTTGGCGTTATAGAAAGCCAGTCCTGTGTTGCCCAAAATTTTAGTCAGCATATTGATTTCATGAATTATTTGTCTAGATGGGCATCAGTATGTAATTTTCCTATTGTAGAAATTTTAATTCATCATGTGAAATTAAGGAAGTACCATTAAAAAAACCTACCATATAGTTTTTTTATAATTTTTTTTTTTTTTACTGTGAACTATCACTTAAAGATGCTTGCATCGTCTCACAAAATTAAGGGTTAGTATTTGCTCATCTTTTAATTCAGGGACAGTCCGGTTTTGAAATCAGGACAGAGCCTGTTCAGTTGCTCTTCATCCTGTAGACATACTTAACACTCAACTCTAACCTTCAGGTATCCTTTAGGTTGCATAGCCACAGGCGTTTAGCGGGCATTTCATTTGATTTTAATGAGGTTAGAGTTATAGGAAAGCCGTACAGTCTTTACTCATTAATCAATTCAGAAACGGAATATTTCCCTTCTCTTTGGAGAATTAATTAACTATTCAGTTATTTTTAAAAAGTTGAAGGGCAAATTGTGAAGAAAAAACACTTATGCTGTAGAAGACACTCGAAGACTCCGGTGGAGAATACATCACGTAGGAGGGGGTGTAACAAGCAGTCTCTCACCTTCGGGTTTCTGAGTCCCTCCAGATGTCTCCTGTGCTCATTTCTTCCCCGTGCGATTACATCAGTGTTTGGGGAAAGACGATCTGGTGGAGAAAATCTAGAACTGTAGGCAGCATGGGGACATTGTCGGGGTGTGGGAACGTTACTGACGAGAGTTCAGTGTGGCTCATTTCTGTGGCCTCTCTTTATGACTTCCTCCTGCCAAGTCATAGTTTTGATCTGCTAATTGGATGCAGTAGGGATGTGTGTTCAGGGTAATGATTTGTGGGAGGAAATGAGTCCTGGTAACCTATTAGACTTAGTCTCGTGTGGTTTTCTACAGGGATACTCTATGCAGAAACTCGTCATGAGTAGATGCTGAGAGCTGAATATCAGCACGGCGGTAGACCAGAGCTTTTCAACGTATTGTCTCTCACATAAACATTAATGTAGACAACTGCCCACCAAGGGAAGTACTTCCTAAAGAGCAAATTCCAGCGAGTGTGTAATTATAGTACAGGGGGGTAGAACAAAAATGAGATGCACTAGTAAGTGTAGGAAGGGAAGCTTTAGGTATTATTGTGGTCTAACCCCAGGCATCAGAGAACAGATCAAGATTCTCTCTCTCTCTCTCTCTCTCTCTCTCTCTCTCTCTCTCTCTCTCTCTGTGTGTGTGTGTGTGTGTGTGTGTGTGTGTTTGGAGTTTGTTGCTGACTCCACTACTAAACCTGCTCTAATAAAATCCAGCAATGGACCTGGCAGAGGTGGTGCGTGTCTTTAATCCCAGTACTGGTAATCGAGAGGGAGATCCAGGTGGATCTCTGTGAGTCTGAGACCAGCCTGGTCTACAGAGTGAGTTCCAGGATAGCCAGGGCTACACAGTGAAACCATGCTGAATCAATCAATCAATCAATCAATCAATCAATCAAATATAGCAGCAGATGCTGGGAAGCTAGCTCACTGGATAGAGTCCATACAACACGAGGAGCTAAGTTCAGATCCCCAGAGCTCTTGAAAGGCTGGTTGTTGTTCCTGTCTAAAATTCTAGAGACAAGGTGGGAGGCTGAGCTAGGAGAACCCTCAGAAGCCATGGGCCAGCTTGTCTGACGTACCCAGTGGCAAACAATAGAGACCTTGTCTCAAACAAGATAGAAAATGAAAGTGAACATTGGAAGAGGTTCTCTGACTTCCACATGCATATCATGGCATGTGTGTGCCCATCCCTACGTATGAATGCATGCCTACACACATAACCAGCCTTGGGCAGGCCTCTCTAGTCCTAGACACTAGGACAGCAGCCATGGCTGAACCTCTATGTCACAGTCCCCGGCTCCAGGCCTACCTGTTGAACTCAGTCTATACCAGTGAGAGACCATTCACTTCAGGCCTATGATTTGGCCCACAGTAGTAGCAGTTCAGTCCCCACAGACTCCATCTCTAAGTTGTATCCTGTAGTCCCAGCTCTGGTTAACGTGCTCCTCTAGGTAGGCCTGCATGCTCTCAGGTCTCAGGACTACAACCTACACAAGTCTAGTCCCTATAATCCTAGCCATCACATAGCTCATAGGCCCACTCTTAAGAGTACCTACTGTCACACAGGCTCCAGGCCTTTCAAGTGACGGGTGAATCCCTGTACTGCTGTGGGACAATGGTCTGTACCCTGTCACTTGTATTTTAAATAAACACTAATTGGCCAGTAGCCAGGCAGGAAGTAGAGGTGGGGCAATGAGAATTCTGGGAAGAGGGAAGTTTCAGTCTGTAGTCATCACCCAGACACAGAGCAAGCAAGATGTGACAGCTTCGCTGAAAAAGGTACCAAGCCACGTGGCTAACACAAACAAGTATTATGGGTTAATATAAGCTGTAAGAGTTAATAAGAAGCCTGAGCTAATAGGCCAGTCAGTTTATAATTAACATAGACCTTTGCCTGTTTATTTGGGACTAAACAGCTGTGGGTCCTGTTGGGATAGAAACATGGGTCAACAGCATACTCCTAGGCTCTAAGCCTATATTAAGTTTCAGACTCTCAGAGCTAAGGAAGTTCACAAATATTAGGTTTCATGCTTACCTGAGTACATGGTTAACACCACAAGCTTCAAAATTGAGGCCTTCTGTGGGCTAGGACCATCTCTGTGGCTCTACAATCCAGGCTGGCACTGGCAGCGCCAAAGTTTTAGAAGACTAAGATCATGTGCATCCCAGTAGATCTTAGTGTTGGTATGCCCTAAGATAACCATCAAACCCAGATTTTAGAACAGCCCTCACTGGCCTATGTGTACCCACACTTCCAGCTGTTTCTCACGAATCCAGGTCCCAACCACACCTCAGTACCATGGCAGTTCCAGGTTCCAGTAGGGTTTTTATGGCTTCAGTGATCTTGGAGTTCAGGTGTGGTCTTAACAGAACTAGGATCAGTACTGATCCTGGTAGATCCAGGAACCAGACTTGAACCTGTGGACTAAGGCTCTAAGAATCTTAGACTAACCCCTGGACCTAAGCTTCCGACTGCTTTCAGAACCAGGCCAACCTGTGTGGACTCAGACTGTGGCTCTACACCCGTGGTCCAAGCTGGACTCTGTGCATGTAATCAGGTCAATCTACCTGCTCATCTGGACAGGCCAAGCTGCCGGAAAAGTGCAGAGAAAGCCAAGTTTGCTTGATTTTCTATCAGATAGCATGCCTTGGACCTCTGGATAAATTGATTGGTGGATAGCTTTCCTAGAGAAAGCCAGTTGGTCTACAATTTCTTCACAGAAGGGATAAGACACCACTTCTCTAAATGTGCAGTTGTATAGCAACAACATCTGGAGCAATCAGGGAAACGAGGTACCCTTGAACGAAGAAATGAGATGCCCATCAGAAATAAGTGGAAACTTATGAGCTACCTGAAAAAAAGTTAGATAATTACTTTACTGTCTTAAGGAAGACCAGGGGATCTTGGGTTTTGTTTGTTTGCTTGTCCCCCCCCTCCCAGGTTCATCTTTTTATTAGACATGTTATCAAAACGCTTAGTCAAAAAGACCAAAGCCCATGTTGTCATCAGTCTCCTCGGATTCTTCCTTCTTTGCTTCCACTTTCTTCTCCTCAGCTGGGGCAGCAGCGGTGGAGAAAGCAGGGCCACCTGCTGGTGAGGCTCCGGCTGCTGGAGCAGGCCCACCAGCCCCTACATAGCAGATAAAGATTCCAGTGTTGACATTGGCCAGGGCCTTTGCAAACGAGCCAGGCCAGAAAGGTTCCATATTGATACCAGCTGCTTTATTGAGGGCATTGATCTTATCTTCCGTGAACATCACCTTATCCTCATGGAGGATGAGGGCGGAGAAGATGCAGGCGAGCTCAGAGAAGGAGGCCATGTTGCAGACTGCTGGCAGGGTGCTAGTCCCACAACAAAGTGAAGGCCTCACCCCAGTGCGGCAGGAGCACCTTGGCGGCAGCAGAGGAAAAGCTGTTTCTTTGTTTTAAAGTAGAGAAATGATTCAGTAAAGTCAGGAATACAGGATCAGACTGCAAAATTTAAAATGTTTATTTTAAATATAAAATATTTATACATTTGCAGGAATTCTCGATGTGAAAAATAAAATGAGGGAAATGGGAGATAAAGACCATAAACAGAATTGACCAAGTAGAAAGAAGAGTTTCTTAACTCTAAAACTGATTATTTCAAAATAGTGTGTGTCGGGGGGGGGGCGGGGGTGGAGAATGCAGAAGGAAGAAGGCTTATGTGATTTGTGGGATAAAGTATTTGGGTTTTAGGAGAAGCAGACTAACCACTGTATATGTAATACAAGAACAGATAAACTAAAGTATAACATTTTGGGCTGGTGAGGTGTATCAACTGCATGCTTATTTATTACTTATGCCAAAGACCTATAACTGACTGCTGTCTTGGTCGGGGTGACTATTGCTGTGAAAACCACCATGGCCAAGTAAGTGACGTTGGGAGGAGAGACTTTGTTTCCCTCACAGTTTTATACAGCAGTTCATCATCAAGAGCGTGAGAGCAGGAACTCACACAGAGCAGGAACCTGGAGGCAGGAGTTGATACACTGACCATGGCTGGGTGCTGCTTGCTGACTTGCTCAGTCTGCTTTCTTATAAACCCCAGGACCACCAGTCCAGGGATGAGGCCCACCCCCATTGATCACTAATTAAGAAAATGCCATAGAGAGGGATCTTATGGAAACATTTTCTCAATTGAGGCTCCCTCCTCTCTGATGACTCTAGCTTGTGTCAAGTTGACGTAAGACTAGCCAGCACGATTGTATTTCCTTTCTTAAACACCATGACAACATGTTTTGTCACTGATCATGTCCTGCACCATCAGTTTTTATTTTTGTTTCACTCACTCAGCTACGTCTGTCCTTCTTCTCCTACTTCTTTCTCATGCTCTCAGCTTTGGTTTTGCTTGCTTTTTGAGACAGTGTCTCAGTAGCACAAGCTTGCCAAGGCTGGCCTTGAACTTCTGATTTTCCCATTTCTACCTCCAAAGCTCGAGATCCTGAGCATGAACTACCATATTTTGCTGCTTATGACTTTCTAAACCCCACTTGCAACTGAAAATCCACCTATGACTGATCTCAAGGGAGTTCTTTGGAAGCAGATGAATAAGAGGGAAATGGTAGGAGCCTGATTCGGTACCTGAACCTTCTGTGAGCCAGGGGTGGGATGCAGAGACCTCACATCCCCATTCAACCTGGTCTTGGATGAGTAATGAGTTCCATAGGGGAAACTCTGGGCAGCACCTGAAATCTAGGAAGGTAGGAAAAAGGCATAAAGTAAAGGCTGTTGTTGGCAGTGAATTGTTTTGCTGATGTTTTGAGTCCTAATAATCATGGATTTACTAGAGACTTTATACACAGGTTTTACAAAACATTGCACCGAACCAAGACTCCTTTATAATGAATTAAGAAAGGCAATCTATTTATTATTAGCTATTTGTTTATCTTCATAGGTTCCCTTTACACAGAATTAGCTAGCTTTGTGGACAGAAATATTGAAGATGTTCTGTGTCAGATACAACATAACACCTAGCAAGCTCTTTAGGCTGATATTAGCTCTATATTCTTAGACTAGTCTCAGATTATTTGGAAGCAAGGAATAGAACCAATTATACCTAATGACTAATTAAAATGTTTTGCTTATATTCTCCTGGTTGCTAATGGTTAGGACCCTAAGTGCTCAAGGGGTGAATACATCTGCTAAAAGAAAAAAGAAAAACAGTGAATTGGAAAATGAGCCTATTATCTGTGCACTTGGGTCTACTCATGTTGTCATAACAGGAGGTCAGTGTCGAGTGGGGTGTTGAGATCCTGCTCAATGGTAGAGTGGCTGCCTAGTGTTCAAGAGATCCTGGCTGCAGTCCCTAACACTGAACAAAACAAAACAGAAATAAGGCAACAAGCGGCTATTGTGACGTTCTGGGAATGATTTGGGGAACCCTCTCCTATTGCATTCAGAGAGGATACTGACATGTTCAAATGTAAAAGGTTACCCAGGGGTTTTAGTACTTGGTCCACAGCTCCTGGCACTGTTCAGATGGTTGTGAAATCTTAGGGAGCCTTGCTAGTAGAAATGAGTCAGCAGGGGCAGGCCTCAGGTTTTGATTTCCTTGCCCTCTATCCTGTTCCCTCTCTGGTTCCTGACCCTTACATTCACGCTGCCACACCTTCCCCACCGCGACAGACTATTCACCATCTTAAATTGTGAGCTAAGATAATGCCTTTTGCCCTTCAGTTGCTTCTTGTCAGTTATTCATTCATAACAACAAGAAAAAAAAATGGGCTGGAGAGATGGCTCAGAGGTTAAAGAGCACTGACTGCTCTTCCAGAGGTGCTGAGTTCAATTCCCAGCAACCACATGGTGGCTCAAAACCATCTGTAATGAGATCTGGTGCCCTCTTCTGGCCTGCAGGCATACGTGGAGGCTAAACATTGTGTACATAATAAATAAATAAATCTTTAAAAAAAGGAAAAGAAAAGAAAAATAATTACACAAGTCTCCTGTAATTCCATTTAGACAGGTTTCCCAAGAAATCATATTACCTATCAAGAATGGAGAAATGGGTGATCTCACTAAGAAAAAAGACTATTGAGGAAGAGAGAGAATTCTATCTATGGCCGAGTGACTGGATGCAGATAGAATGATCAGAGATTCCCTTTCTACCTGCTTCCTTCTTTTCTATGATATTTGTAAAGAACAGCTCTTGCAGTCTAACCTCTTACTGACTGAACTTAGAATTTAATGGCTTTAGGTTAGAAAGGCATAGGAATGTTTGCTAACACCCTTTTCCATTCTTCTACCTGTAGAGGCCAAGTTGATCCTGCTGCAATGTGGGCCATTGTTTGCTGGATATTGAGATGTGGCAGCCATGCTCCTTAGAGGAGACATTATTCCAGATTCGTGAATGTTTTGACTGTGTAGATTGTCTGCATTTGGTTAGGAAGGAGTGGTTCCAGCAAGTTTAATTAGAAGAAGGTCAGGGATGGAACTGAGCTAGCCAGATTTTAACCTGGAGGAACTCTCTCACAGTGTGAACCTCCACTGAGGCTGAGTTCTGCCTTCCGTTAAAGCAGATGAAGAGCAAATACACCCTCACTCTGTCCCGTGAGAGCTTCGGCACACAAATGTAACCTAGACTTGGCCAAGCAGGTGCTCCCAGTGGGAAGCCAGAATTCAGTGTGAGAAGAAGAGATGCAGAGATCCTTTAGATGCTTGCAGCATCCACTCTCCTGTGGCAGCAGGGTCTAGTTTATGGTCCAGTGACAGTGATGACAGTAATCCATGCAGGCACATCCTAGAGGCACCACCCTGCCCAAAGCTTGGTGATTCACCTCCTTTAACGCCCACACATCATCTCACCTGATTCTAGTTAATTCTCCGAATTCTATACAGCTTTCCAAAACATTGATCTTTTATGTTGACGTTTTCCCTTGTGATTTTTTACAACCAAGAGCACCAACGCCTCAATTTCAGGTGACAGTTGGATGATTGAATGGTATGTTAATGGGCTAATAGTCATAGTTATATAGTAAATATTAGAGGGGAAATTTTATCTCAGATCTGTTTAATGCTAGCCTGCATTCTGAGCTACGAGTACTCTCAGTAATTAGTCAAACAGGGTATCACAAAAAGATTTCTAGAGAATTATTTCATTGCTTAAGGACATAAAAAACACCCATGTTGCTGGGTGATGGTGGCGGCACATGCATCTAATCTCAGCACTTGGGAGGCAGACTCAGGTGGATCTCTGTGAGTTTGATGTCGGCCTGCTCTATAGAGTTCTAGGACAGCCAGGGCTACTCAGTGAAAACCTATTTCAAAACTCCACCCCATGAGAGACAGACTGGGTGGCAGGGGGCGGTGGGGGTGAGAGGGAGAGAGGAGAGGAGAGAAAACACACATGTTAAATTGTCACCAACTATGAGGCTACTGCTTGAACGTCTTGGAGAATGCAAGACAGGCTGACGGGTTAGAGAGACATCTGTGCCATCAGTTTCAACACAGAGCTACTGCTGTTGCTGATGGACGGTCTGTGGATCCTTCTTTCAAGACTTTAGACAGGGTGTGTTTCCAATCCCTTCTCAGCTTGCCAATGACCTGTCTCTTTCCTGTGGTTCCTATTACTTATTTATTTTCTTTCACATAAGCTCCTCATGTTAATGCCTACCTATACTCATTGTTCTCAGATATATATACATATATATATGTGTGTGTGTGTATATATATATATATATATATATATATATACACACACACATATATATTCCTGGTCTTTGAAGAGAGGTATTTCTAGCCCACAGGACAGGAAAATGCTTATTGAGGACATGATGAAATGTGACCTTTCAAAGTCCTTCAGAAGATGTCTCATAATTACCCTGGGGGAGATGTCTCACTGTCTGGCTGCTCTTCTCATCACAGATATTCAGTTCACATTTCTCTGTCCTTAATTTCACCCCAATTTATTTCTTCTATTCAATTCCGTAATGACCCTGGCTGCTGTTTACTCTGTGGACGTTTTCCAGTGACAAGCACATCTCTCTTGGTTGCTGCTCAGCAGAACAGGCCAGTTTAACATCTTTTAATCATGTCTATTCACATGTCAGTTCCCTTGCCCCCAGTCACCTCTGTGCTACCATCTTAGCTCTCTTCGGTTTTAGCCCAAGTGGAAATATAATTAGTATAGAAGTTTTTTTCCCCCAAGGATATTTATGATGATTTTTAGGCACTGAATTTTTTTTTTTTTTTTTTTTTTGGAGAGACAGATGAAATAGAATCTAACAAACTTCATCATTCCCTGGACAATTTATTTTTCTTTAAAGCCCTCGTTACACTAGTTTCACTTCTCACAACGGGA